CCCCCAGGTGTGGCATGCCACACCCCACGCTTGACCCTGAGCATGACTTTTAAATTGCGATGCATCTGATAGGAGACACAGCTTTCCAGCTATTCAGAAACTTCCGATGTCTAAAAAAGAGAAATGTTCTTTGAACCAATAAGACAACTTCAGTGTCTGAGCCGTCTCAGTTGAGCAGAGGATGTATCACTGTTGGGCTTGGACCATGGTTCTTTCGGTGCGAAATATCGTTCGAGGATTAGTAATCGCAAAACTTTGACGTCTGTTACTTGCGCCAAACAAATCTCCTTTTAGATAGAACGTCAATTATAATCGTTCGAAGAAGCTTTGCTAAAGTGTTTCGGTATTACTAGGGCATGACTTTTAGCTCTCATAACTCAATTTATTTCAATCTGTTTAATATTAAAATTAAAAATAGAGTTAGATTTCAAGTTTTGCAATTTTTGTTAGATATTTTTGATTCATTATAATGGACGGGTTCTCCACTTTCCTCAACAGTTTAAGATACTCTGAAAAAAATATTTAGAAGCGCTGCAAATTTTTACCTATGCAAAATACGTACCAACATTACTTCACTTTTTTGGTAACAGATATGGTAGGTGTTAATGACTTGGACATAGTTTTTTGCAGAAGTGGACTTTTCTCGTCGGATAGTTCCTGAATCATCAAAATGGAAATGCGTTCCTTTGCAAATGCTCACATCTTGGCCAATAATTAGTGGTCTTTTCTTCGCCTTTTTCAATGTTTGCAATTCAGCCTGTATATCGACTGCGCCTGGTTTTTCCGTATGAACCTCAACTACTTGACCGATTACGTCTTTTTCATCACGTATTTCACCAATAACCTGTAAAACTAAGGTTTTGCTGAAACTTTATATCGAGTACCTACTTCCTCCAGGTTATCTTCTAATGTCACAATACCAGTTACACTGTACCGTTTCTTTTCCTGGTCAAAATCAACCACTATTGCAAGAGGAAATCCTCTTTTGAGTTCAACCATTAACTGTATGACGGGGGTTTCTGATGTCACCATACGGAACT